TCACCAGAAGTTTATCTTTGAAATAAGCTCCAAAGATTATGAAAGCAAAAAACTGAACCTTTAAAACATTGTCTTTTATCAAAAACAAGGTAAACGCGTTTGTGTTTCAATGAGGAAATGATTGCAAGTGACAGATAAAGATTTAAATGACGTTTGTGTTGCAGCTGGAAATCAGTGACAGTTAAAGCCACTATCAAACTGATTCAGGAAGCAATACATTACATTACATTACATGTCACTTGTTAGACACTTTTATCCAAAGCAACTTCCATACTCAATACTGTGGACAATCCCCACAGGAGCACTTTGGGGTGAAGTGTCTCAGGGACACAACGACATGCTGACTGCAGTGGGGTTTGAACCTGTGACCCCCTAAACCCAACACCTACGCACAACCCACAGGCAATAAGAGGTGAAACTACTGTAGGTGTGTGTGAATTCATATGTCAAGCATACTGATCAATCCTAAGTGAGAACTCAAGGTGTGGATAACTCCTCTCACTCGTGTGTTCAGGTGTAAAGTCACCTCGGGGTCGAGAGGTCTCGATGCTTTGTGACAGAGCTGCTCAGAAAAAAAACCTGAAGATAAAATACATTTTCTTTCTGCGGTGATTTATTGGAGGAAAGCTTAATCGCGAAATAAAGTTTACGGATCCTGAAGCACATGTAGAGCAAAAAAAGAATAGTTTAGATAACATATTAAACCTTTTACTCATTTGGTAAGCAATTGAATATTTGTTTGCATTGGAGCGCTCGCCAGACAAAGGAAACCGTCAAAAGATATTTTATTATTTTTAGTTATTTTTAAACCAATTGATTAATCAAGGAAATAGTCCAGTGATTGATGTAAATATTAATTAATAGTCACAGCTCTACTGGAGATACATGTGACCTTTTAACATAATAGTGACAACGTGCATCGTGTATCAATGAACATTTGGACTCGAAATGGAACATTCTGTGTTAAAATAAACTTTTCACATGTACGATATAATCAAACTCTAATAACACATTCTGTTGTCCTGCGTAGCATGTGACGGTGGTCTGTGTGTGACCATGTGAGTATGTGCACCCTCCAGCAGCGCTCTGGTCTCCTCCACACATTAGGGCGAACATAATGTAGTCATGGTCTGAGATCAGATGTTCTGCAGACACAGCCTGCCTGTGGGAGAGTAATAATGAGGAGAGGAATACCTGCGGACGTGTGATCACACCCCAACACGGACGAGTCCTCATCTAACGGAGCTAATGAGGCTGAGTTATGATAGCGAGCCTTTATTTGAAAACCAGAGGAAGAGACACATAGAGTTAACGTGTTTTAACCCTCCTATTGTCTTCGTTCCCCCCCCTTACTTTGGTGTTCGCGTTCAAATTTGACCGGTCCTGTTTTAACTGCGATTACATTAACACACAAACCATTAATCATCACCACATTTCATTTCACACCCTTTCAAACTGTACATATTGTATCAGACTACTGGTATACATGAACAACTGCAGTATAAATATACAAAGAATAGACACTGAACATGTATTGCGTGTGCGTGTGCGTGTGTGTGTGTGTGCCAAGTGTGATTCACAGGGGGGGATTGGGCACATAAGGGGGGGACACATCTAGAGTGTGTGTGTGTGTGTGTGT